TAGAGTGTAGATGGAGAATCTCTACCACACGCTGAAAGTCCAAGTTCCTAGGAGATTGGCCACAAAACTCTTGAAGTAGGTATATACAAATATAATTCAGTCGAAACCAAAATTTAAATGAATGTCCAAGTCCAGTTAAAATGTTTAGATTGAGCTCAACCAAAAATACAAAACTATTTCTATCACTTATCGGTATCTGGAGATAGTGACGTAAGAATGCGTCCGTGTGAGCCGGGAATTCCAGGACCGTCCGGCCGTCCGGTGCACAACAATGGCCGTGGTGCGGCAACCCAGTAGTATCACACCCAGAGAGAGAGAGACAGGGAAGTGCGGCAACAGTAGTTAGCAGTAGGTAGACGGCAGTACGTAGAGATTCAGTCGAGACAGCCAATACAGAAAACCCTATAAAGCTAGGCGCCCACCGGGCAACTCAGCGGGTGACGCGGCGCGGCGCGGCGCCGTGGAAAAAAGTTGCCACGTATCCGTGCCATGTTATCTTATGGACTGACGCCCAAGCGGGTGGCGCAACGCGGCGCGGAAAAAAAACTTCTTCTCGAATCCGGCAGTGAGAATTCGGTGGAGAATTTCTTCCTCTCGTGTTGCGGCGCCTCCGTTGAGTTGCCTGGTGGGCGCGGGGTAGAGGCACGGAAACGGCGTCTGCCCCTCGTCTGCCGCTCATTCGGGTGTTTTCGGAAAGTATCGTGAGCCCTTCGGGAGTGTTCGGGTCCGAATCGAAGTGCACTGTGCATCCCCTCCAAAAGAATAATTCTCAGCGCTGCCCCGCGCTTCCGCTAGAGTTGCTTGGTGGGCGCGAACCCTGGAGAAGCGGACGGAAGTTTTTCTCCGCGCCGCGTCACCCGCTGAGTTGCCTGGTGGGCGCCTAGCTTTAAATTCCTACATGAATAGTACTATGCCATAACCAGACAAAATTTAGTCATTAGAACTATTGAATATTTGAACAACATAAAAGTGAATAACATCTATAAAATTCATCATGAATAAATATTTGACAACAGCAATACTATAAAACCAGTTTTGTTTGGAAATATACAAGTTTAAAACAAATAAAACGATGAATGAATCTAGCAACCAGTTATCTAAGTTTGTTTACATCTGAAATGAATATTTACAGTTATCCTAAGATAACAAAATTATGCCTAACCGGATTGACTTTGGTTCATAGTGATCGTCTTGAATTAAATAACGTCTTGAATTGCAAAATCAGCAGAATATTAAAAAGCTATATATCTGACAAAGGCAATTTCTTTACATTAAACATAACATATAAATAAAATCTTTACCTTTACACAAGTTATAAACAACACCCTTCATTACGCTGTAAGAATAAAATCAACAATTATAATTAATATTTGAAACAATAATAGCCACAGTTTTGAATATTAAGTATTACGAACGATCAGCTGATTTGAATATTTTACACAGTAATATATAAAATACGAACAGTTGTCTACAAGGTAATTGGTTCCGAAATACTATTTTACTTGCCTACTAATTTGCATCAATTAGGACAGTTAAGATAAAATCACATTATAGTTCAGAGTATTGCGTCTACAATTGTACAAAACATTATTACATGAAAATTCAATTCCTAACAGGTTACTTTACATGAACATGAAGTTTCTCAAATTATTAGCGATTTACTACACACGATTCATTAACAACGGACAAACACAAGAATATACAATTGATTCAAATTTACAAGTTACAATTAATTTACAAAAGTACAGTACAAGGTCAAATTTACGATGACAAAACTACATTTGCAGGAACCGGGCAGGCATAATAGGCTACTGTTTTACCTTAAGCAACATTTTAAATTTTAGACAGAACGAGTTTTGAACTAATTGGCTGATTACCAGTTGATTAAAAGTATAATTTAATGCGATCTGCCTTACCTCTTCGCACCAAACAAGTGCAAAAATCCTCTAGCAGAGACGAGGGTAAATTCAGTAGAATGAAGCAATATGGCGATCTGTTGTCGACGATGACTGGATGACTCAACTACACTGGAACAGTAAAGGCGCGTTCACACATGGCGACTAACTAGCCGCTACTTAGTCGCCGCTACTTTAGTCGCCGCTATTTACTCGCCGGCAAATTTTCGATCTCTGTTCACACATCGCGATTTGTAGTAGTTAGTACAGTTCGATGATTCGTTGTGAGTAGGGTTTGCTGTGGAAAATGTCTGTAGGAAGGCGAGAGACTTTGAGACGTGTATTGAGTATCTGTGTTAAGGATATATTCAGGTGACCTAATGTCCCACAAACACTCATGCTTTCTGTAAATTTCCAGGAAAGTAACAATTTGGTCAGTACTCCACTTCACACTATCGGCCATCTTTAGTATAGAATCCGTATAAACTGACAAAACGTTATTAAAAGGAGCAAAACACAACCACGAGTCGTCAGATCGCAAGCTACCGGCTTCTAGTCGGCGATAACACTATTCACACAGGGCGACAGGGTTGCTACCACTCGCGGCGAGTGTACCACGTGACACTTCAAGGTCAGCTACTGGCGACTACTCGCCCCAAAAGTTAAACATGTCCAACTTTCCTCGCGAGTGATTTTTTACTCGCCGGCGAGTGCTAGTCGCCGCTACTTACTGTTCACACATAGCGATTAGTAGCCGCTACTCTAGTCGCAGCGAGTAAAGTCGCCATGTGTGAACGCGCCTTAACGTAGGCCAGACGATGTGAAGCTCGTAGAATCCAGTAACTACTTGCAGAGTACAAAGGTTGAGTGAGGCAGATAAGGTCGGTAGCTCAAGAGAATGAATAGAGGTTTGGCGTTTGTCATTTTCTATGCATAATGATTCTGGCGGGAAAAGCAGTATCCAAGTTCTATGGGAATTATCGGCCTAAGCGTGCGCGCTGACGCTAGGGTATTAATTTTCAGTAGAGTGATCAGTTCTACGTCCGAAATGAGGGACCATAAAACTTAAAATGTTACATATTCTTAGGTATTTCCAGTTCATTAATATCTCTGATTCTTTCACAGTCAGGTTTAACACCATTACAATCAAATTCTTGTCCTAAAAATCGCACTTTTTCAACAAAGTATTGAATTTTATCCTTATTCAGTTGAATGTGGTTTTTCCTTGCCACATTGATAACTTTAAGTACAATTTTATACAACTCTTTTTTGTTTCTGCTGCACACAGCATATCGTCAAAATACATTACAACCCCCTTAACATCACTGAAAAACTTTGATGTTGTTTCATGTAAGTACTCTGGAAGAACTGAGAGACCAAATGGTGCTCGTAAATAAGGATAAATGCCAAACGGAGTGCTAAATGTGCACAGTTTTGATGACTCTAAATCAAAGGGAACTTGATGGAACCCATCCTTCAAATCAAACACACAGAAGTATTTTTTCTTAGCCAACTTAGTGGTTATTTCATCAAGAGATGGGATTAAAACATAGTCTCGAATCAAACTTTTATTCAATTCCTTTGGGTCTAACAAACTCTCAAAATCTCCAGTTTTATGTTTTTCCACTATAACAAGGTTGTGTACCCATTCTCCATAGTCACATTTCTCAATCATGTTTCTTGATACCAAAGAATCCAGCTTCTGCTTAAGACGATCCATTAATTTGTTAGGTATTCTACGGGCAGGTGAACTTCTTGGAACAGCCCCTTCCTTAAGTTTCAGTTTCAGTACTTCAGGAAAACAACCTCGGTTTACAAATACATCTTTATTCTCTTCAACCAGCGTTTGTACGTCGGGTATTTTGCTTACTGCATCAATAGATATTCTCTTGATGAGGCCCATTGCAATAGATGAATTAAGTCCTATTATTGGAGTCTCCTTTTCAGAATCAACCACAATAAATGTGATGTTGTACAATTTAGAAGCCACTGTAACTGGCAGTGTTACTTCCCCCACTGTGTTTATTTTGAACCCACAAAAACCCTCAAGCTTGGTTGTTGATGGTTGAACCTCAAAACACTTAGGTAGAGATAAGCTATCAAGATCTTTGGTGGAAATAATATTAACATCTGCACCAGTGTCAATCTTAAATACAATCACTACAAGCACTAACGATGCATACTATAGGTCTGTGTTGAGTTTGGGGAATCGGATCACCTACTTTTCACACTGTGAGACAATCCTGCTGCTCACAAAGATGTTGTCAGGGTTATAACCCCACTTCCATCTACCGCTGTTAAAGGAGCAAGGGAGCTTAGGATCGTGTATGAGCTGCAGGTCATTTGCCTCAGCCCAGGTTTCAAAGTTTGTCCCATTTTCACTTGTCTCTATGTATCCCCAAGCAATGCTCTGACAATTAAAATCCCCTAAGACTAAATTAATGTCATCATAGCATAGATTAGCGGGCTCTGTAAATACATACTGAGATTCGGGAGACTTATACAAAGAGGTGACACTGTACTGTGGTGTCCTGACCGTTAGTATCTCAGTATTGTTCCTCTCAGTCAGCGAAGCTGAGGTGATGTCAATGTATGGCCTGGCAAAAACAGCGCTACCATATTGATCATGAGGTCTCTCTAGAATCAGTCTCATTCCCTCTATGTTGGGTCTAGGTTTTAAAATGACCCGGTGTGTTTCTTGAACTAGGAGGAAGTCGCATTCGTAGGTCTTGCACATATCAGACAGTAATATTTCTTTGTCTCTCGATATGCCCTCGATATTAATCGAGATCGTTACGAAGCAATCGTTAATAGCCTAATCAAGACTTCGAAAAAAAATTCAAACAGCTGCTTTTTTGAATCAGCGAAACGGAAGGCAAAAAGAGAAGTTTTTTGAGAGATTATCTTTACGTAAAAAGTATTTTTGTTTTCTGACTTAGTTTGTTAAATAATTGTTGAACATAAAAAATATGTAGTTCTTTTCACTTTAATTAGTAATTTATCTCGTTATCTAAACTTATAATAGACAATTTTAAAACAACAATGTCTTATCATCGTCATGCTAATTTAGTTTTGATTGATCTTTTATCACCCATCTCATCCACTCAGCACGACTATAAATTGGCTGCAAAGATAAATTATAGTTATGTTGTATTTGTTGGAGAACTGAGGTGAGTTAGTACTTAGTCTTAGTGTAATCCGTTTGTTACAATGCACAGGCTTTTTATGCAATTTATTTGAATTTTTAAATTTTAATTAGTAGATACAATACAGGAAAGAGACGATGCTTGAGTGGTTTTCCCATAAGAATAATATGGGGATAATCTTTAGGCCAGTAAAAAAATCCTGATCTTTGCCTACATATCCCTATACAAATGTCCAACTTTATAAATATTACTAATCATCACTTATCACCTATATATTTTCAAAATCAAGCTAAAAAAGCTAATTAGTTCATTTATCAAACCATTCATACCATTCATTAGTTCATTTTCCATACAAGTGTAAATGTAAAGTAGGGGCAATATAGGAAAGATGCCCCACTTTAGTCACTTTTTCCTCATAAGAATAACATGGGTGCACTTTTTTAGCCATTTTTTAAAGACCCTGCTCTCGGCCTATACAAACCCATACAAAACATCGATTGCACAGTGTGAGGTTTGCACAAGAACTCGAGCGCGCTCTCGGCCGCGGGCATGGAAATGCTTCTCGCGTCTCGCTTCTCGTTCTTAGCGGTGACGCACTGACATGCCGCTCCCTTAGGTATCCTTTTCAGAAATCCATAAATTCTGGCTACTTGGGAACCCAAGCCATACAATAAATTATCCTTCCTTCTCTACCAAATACAAGTATTTATACTTGGTCTTTAACAACTCCTCTGTATAGAATCCTCCCCTGATTATATTGTATTTTTCATCTTTCAAGATATAAGTCACAGGGGATAGCCCAACTCCGCGCGGTGGTCAGATTTAAGATGACGAAAAGTTTTATGGCCCCCGAAGGGTCCAGTCCAACTCCGCGCGGTGGTCACTTTTAGTGTACAGCCTAACTCCTTGCGCTGGTCCCATCTAATCTCTACGCTACTCATCAATCTTTAACTTTTACTTGTTGTACTCTCGGATGAGATATGAAAGGTTTAATACAAAATATTATACATATATAATATGTGTCCCAAAAGTAATGTTGCACTTTTATTTTTTCATCGCTACTTTATTCATGTGACATGTTAGGTTAGGTTTGGTTAGGTTAGGTTAATAATAGTCAAATTCAAATAAAACATAAATATTCTCTTTTGTACTGTTTAACTTAATTTTATTAGTTACTGGGGCTTCGTACAGTGGTAAACTGTGTACATTTATAACAAATTCAAACTTCAAAAACAAACTATCAGCCGTCAGGGCTGTGAGAGCCAAAATTGACCACTGCGCGAAGTTGAACATGTATCGCGAGGGATCCGAAGTGACTACTGCGCGGAGTTGGACAGTCGGTTTTGGCAGATTTCTGACCACTGCGCGGAGTTGGGATAAGCCCAAGTCACAGGCTTTGTATTCTTAGCTTCTGCTATTGTAAATAGCTCCCCTGTCCAATCGGGGCAGACTCCGCTGGTCCCGTAAGTCAGGTACCCCACTTCTACTGGTCCCGGTTTAAAGTATGGTCTCCTAATCCGCACTTCCACTGGTCCCGTCGGCAGCCCCTTTGCAATTTGTCTAACAGGATTACGGCTAGTGTTTGTAGTTATCAATGCCCATTCATCGGTAGGAGCCTGAGATGTTTTACTGTCTCTGATAACAACTGTTTGGAGAGTGCTTGATAGACTAATATAGTATTACCAGTAACATTAAAAAGCACTGAATTAAATGTATAATATGATAATATGCTTGCGAGTTTAAAAGTTCTTAAAGGCTAGCGGCCATCTTCGATAATTTCAAACAGCTACTGAAGAGTTAATTATCATCCAAAAATAGTTTTTCAAACACCAAAGTGATTACAATGTAAATATCTATAGTCCAGTCAATGAATGTTCCAAAAGTGGGGGTAAAGTGCGTGAGCAGGTAACTAAATGATTCCTTCAGAGACTTGTTCAGGGGGCTTCAGGTGTTAACATACCAAAAGTCCTGACTCCTAGGTGGTGAGCAAGGGGGGGTGGAGGGGCGAAAGGGGGGGTGGGAAAGAGAGGGGTAAAGGTACGATTTTTTTTATTATATCTCGAAAACTATCACATTTTTGTATACTATACTAAATTATAAAATTGAAGAAAATTAAATTTTCTACAAGAAAATTATATAATGTGTTTATTTTGGTTAAACAGATTACGAGTTATTACTTATTTAATTAATATCTTATTAAAATACTCATTCTATAAGAAATACATGTAAATTAGTCTGCGAAATGGGGCGAATCCTATCCGCCCAATGGAAATATAACCGATATTCTGGAAATCTTGACAAAATTTCCAGTAATTTCACACTCTAATCATAAATACCTTCACCACAGCAAACCTGCAGACTAAGCGAATTTCCATTGGCCTGATAGGATTTACACTAAAATGCCTCCTTAAAAATATCACACTTATTCCCTATTTAAATATAATTTGTTTAACGAGTACTTTTAGTAATTATTAGTTTTTTTAAGATCTACAAAATGGTTTGGAAAGAAATTGTGAAATTTTGTGTTATTAGGGTTAAAAATGGGAAAAACCAATTTTTAACCCAAAAAACCCCGTTCCCATAGTCCAATCATGTTGGTTTGCAAACTCGTTTGAATAAATGTAGGTTTACACGTTTGTACCAAATTTCATTAAAACCGGATCATTTTGGCTCGAGTTATCGTGCTAACGGACACGCACACACACACACACAGATATATATATATATATAAAGAAAAAATAAATCGGTCCCGGGTCCAGGTTTTACCATGAGTACTACGGTAATAGCTTATTCCATATATAGGAAATTCGCTAAAATTGATCTAAAATTAAGGCGAGGGCGAGGTAACAAAAATGTCGTGTTTTGGTGTTTTTTGCATCTAGAATTATTAAAAGAAAACCTCAAATCATCTCGTTTTTAAACGCTCACCCTCACTTTACTTTTTGAAAAAAATTTTTGATTTAAGTGTCAAATTGCTGGAAATGTTACCAAGATTTCCAGAATATCGGTTATATTACCTTTGGGCGGATAGGATTTGCGCAATTTTGCATACTAATTTACATGCATTTCTTATGGAAGGAGTATTTTATTAAGATATTAATTAAATTAGTAATAACTCGTAAAATGTTTAATCTAAATAAACACATTATATGCTTTTCTTGTAGAAAATTAATCTTCTCAAACTTTATTATTTAGTATAGTATACAAAAAGTTGATAGTTTTCAAGATATAATAAAAAAAACCAAAATGCGTACCTCTAACTCCCCTCTTCCCCCTCCAAACCCTGGCTCAGCACCTAGGAGTCAGGACTTTTGGTATTTTAACACCCTAAGCCCCCTGAACAAGTTTCTGAAAGAATCGCTTAGTAATGCTCACGCTCACTCTACACCTCATACCTTGACTAGACTACTAGTATACTGTGAGGTTAGATATTTGGTTTTGAATGTATTTCCAAAGGAGTCCGTGGAAGCCAACGGCCATCTTGGATTTGCCCGCCATACGAGCAAGGTTAATTTAGTTTTTTTCAAACAGCCGCTGAAGAGGTATTTACGACCTCAAAATATTTGTTCAAATATCAAAGGGATTATAATTTAAATATCTAGTATTTTGTGAAATTATAAATTTGCTTCGTATTTTTTTTTACTGTTTTGTGAGTTAGAACGTCTAGTCACATTAGTCATCATGAGAAATTTCAGCGAATGAGTTTCGGTAATGGGGCAGGCTTCATTGAGTTTTAATTCCTAGGGATACTGATAGATACCGATACTAATAGCTTACCTAAAAATATTACATAACTTATTTTTTGGAACGAAATATTGTATGTTTCTAATAATTTCAAAGGTCTTATGTAAATTAGTCAAAGTCTTATTTTTCTGTTGTATAAAATGTTTAGGTACAGTTTAGGTTTCTTTGCTGTTTAGATTTAGTTTAGTTAAAAATTAAGTACCGGGGGACCGAGCCTTGCTCGGTTGTGGTTAATTTGGTTTAATCGTTAAAACAATATCGTAAACACATTTTATAATTCACAAAAAAACATTTTTATTATCATGCATAGATATTTTATCGCTGAAATAATAACAACTCTGTAATGTAAAATAATTATGCAACCAAACAAAAATAAGGTACACTTTTATGTTGTTGCGTAAGTAGATCAAATCTAATCAAATCTCTTGGACGTATTTATATTTACTTTCAGTATATTTAATAACACCCAAAATACTGATAAAGAAGTTATTCATCACGACATTTTATTGAATTAGCTTTTTCCAATATCTTGTGTATACAATTGTTTATTCATTTAAAACTGCGTTTAATAAAATGTAGGCACACCAAATAAATATTTACTTACGAATTTTCATGTACCTCCACCGTTCCACCATGAAGACAGGTCCTCGCAAATAGTTTCTATATAAATGTCGCAACATTGTGTTCTATTAAAAATGCCCCCTTTGACTAAAAACCTTTTTTTACTTGACAAAAATATCGGTCTGCTTACTCCATTCTCTAACAAACATCAGGGATTTACTGGGAGAAGGGGTAAAATAAAGTTATTTTAGACTTTCCGTCATAGTGGTGCATTTTGAAGGGGAGACTTCGCTAAAAGACTTCACTTCGAAACTCCAAAATCGCCACATTCAATGATGCTGAGAAAGCTGCAAGTATTTGCTGTTTTTGACCTGTACAGTGAAGTGATGCACTGTTTAGAGCTTTGCGATGACATGATGACCCGTCGAGGGAACTCCATAATTCAAATAAGTTTTCTCGATTTAACATTGACAAAAGAATGCCAGAATATAAAATTTTCCATCTACAGGAAACCAACCGCTACTGATCACACAATCCACTCTACATCTTACCATCCCATCTCCCATAAACTAGCGGCCTACAATAGTATGGTTCATCGATTGTTATCAATACCCATGGATCCAGACGACTTTGAAACTGAAACAAATATAATAAAATACATAGCAGTGGCCAATGGATATGAAAGTAAAATGGTGAACAAAATAATTTCCAAGAAAAAGAACAGGAATGAAAAACGCATTGAAACCACTCCCCCTGAACAGAAAAAGTTTATCTCAGTAGAATATGGAAAATCATTGCACAATATACTATCTAAATCTATGAAAAAACAAAACATCACACTCTTATGCAGAACCACAAACAAATTAAGTAAACACCTAAATATCCATAGTAAAAAAAGAAATGAAAATACTGGTTTCATTTTTATGGTATAGCCTCTGGATCAATGATTTTTCAATAAAAGGTTTAAATTACCTGTATCCGTCAAGTGATCCTGGTTTGTAGTTAATTGACTTCAGCCGTTTCATGTTGTAAAAACACATCTTCAGGTCAAACGTACATTGATTTAATCCATGGAATGGTCGTCAAAAGGTTTAAAGTTCACAAAAATAACACATAAACGTACACGAAAACATTAAAACATAAATTGGCCAAAACAAAAATACGAAAACACGCGTGATAGGCATCGGACACGTACGGCGCCTCTAGAAGGTAGGTCATGACTACCTTCTAGCGGCTATGTACGTATAGACTGAATTATTTTCAAGTAAGTTTAGGCTGCTAAACCAGGCCAGAATAAATCAATCAATTTTAAAATTAAATGATGTTTCATTATTTATTTGTATGCTTTAATTGGACATAAAACATTTTATGCTGTATGTTTTGGTAAAAATTTTAAATTTTTTACTTGCATAGTTTTCCCCCTAAAAGAGTGCTTTACGAATTTAATTTGTGCATGCAAACATCAAACAATGTAATAGTTATATACACCGAATAAGGTAGGTGATTAAAGACTATTTAAAAGAGTTTACAGGGTTAGTACATTTGTTTGCTCTCCTCCTAACATTAACTTTCATATTTAATACTTCACTAAGATCAGGTATTTTCCCAGAAAAGTGGAAGTCTGCGCTTGTCCGTCCCTTGAATAAAATCTCATCCCCATCGCTTCCGCAAGACTACAGACCAATTAGCATTCTTCCCGCTCTTTCTAAGGCACTAGAAAGAGTCATTCACTCCAAGTTTCTGACTTCTTGGTAAAAACAACATCCTCAATAGCTTTCAATCAGGTTTTCGTAAATCTTACAGTACTGAAACGGCAATGCTTCATGTAACTGATGACATACGATTTGCTATGGATCGTAGCCAATGTACTATCTTAACATTATTTGACTTTAGTAAAGCCTTCGATACCGTAAACTATAGCATTTTTCTAGCCAAACTCAAACTGTTAGGTTTCTCTGATAATTCATTAAAATGGATGAGATCATATCTTCAGAGCCGAAAGCAGTGTGTTTCTCATGAAAACTTGACGTCCGACTGGAGACATGTTCCCTGCGGAGTTCCCAAGAGTTCAATTCTTGGTCCTCTGCTTTTCACCATTTACATCAATGACATCAGTACAGTTCTACACCACGCAAAGTTTCATTTGTACGCTGACGACTTGTAAATCTATTCTCATTTTAAAGTGAGCAATGCAAATGAAACTATAAATATGATGAACACGACATCAACAGAATTGTTCAATGGGCAGAAAAGAACGGACTTGGACTCAATCCTGACAAAACAAAGCCAATCATCATAGGTCACTCACGGTTACTCAACAAAGTGGACTTAGACATTTTACAAAAAAATCACTGTAAACGGTACCACTTTGCAATACCAGGACAAAGTAAAAAGTCTTGGTTTGACTCTAAACCGCACATTGGACTGGACTGACGCGGTGGTAAGCACTTGTAAAAGAGTGTTTGCCGCTGTTCACACACTGAAGAAGATGCAACGACTTCTACCTTTTCACATTAAACTCTTACTGGTCAAATCACTTGTGTTTCCACACTTCAACTACTGCAACACCGTGGTTAATGATATGACTGTGGCTTTGGCAACAAAATTACAACGTGTACAAAATTATTTTGTTCGATTCTTGTTCAATCTTAGGCGTGATGACCATGTCACACCCTATTACATTAATGAATCAATTTTGAAATTAGAGGACGTCAGAAAAATACGAATACTTTCCATTACCCATTCAGTCACCAATCTTGGAATTCCAAATTATCTTGCAAAGAATTTTAAATTTTTGAATGGAAGAGACCAAGGAATACCCGCTCTGGCTCGTCCACGCTTCGCATTCCTCATCATAGAACAACTGTTTATAATAAATTATTTTTAGTAACAGCCTGCCGCCTATGGAACTCCATACCTCTGCCCATGAAATCTATAGAAAACCGATCCCGACTGTTGGTGGCGCTGAAAGAATATTACCTTGACCGGATGGCCGTGGCTTGGCGGGATGGCGTGCGTTAGGCCCAGATGCAGCAGAGGGTGTATGTGTGTGTGACTGGATGTTAGGGAAGATGAATAGATTTATGCAATTTTATTACTAGCTATGTTACAAACTTTATTGTATTTTTTGTTATTATTTTGTTGTTATTATTAGTTTTTTAGAGGTTAACATTTAGAGGTTAGAAAGGACCATGTGGTCCTAAGTTCGCCTCAATAAAGAAGCATTTTCATTTCATTTCAAAAATAGATTTCATAACTTTCCTTTTTAGCAAACCTATATACAGTACTCGTGAAACTAATATTATTTAAATAAAAAATAGATATGACATGTTTATGGTTATAACAATGATTAAGGAGGAAATACAAAAAAAATTTAGATAAAACATTATTAGGCCTATGTTATTCATATGGACAGTACGATTAAGTAAATGTAAGATTGTTTGTTTGCTTGTTTTTTTTCTACTAGGATGGTCGACGAGACACAGAATATGCTATAGTGAACAGCAAGTCGTCATTTTAGCTTTAATTGGCTTAAAACTTTTCATATTGGACATAAATTACTAATTCACATCAGCAAAATCTGTCAGTGGGTTACTTTAACCACAACTTTTTAAATATTCGTAGATTATATCAATGTTGCTTTTTAGTCAAGATGAAGCTGTTACTGTTGTTCGCAATTGTTGCTTTGGGTTACTCCCAACACATCACATACTCTGAGGAGGACGAGTACCAATGGGAGCTCTTCAAGGTAAGGCACCTTCATATTTCTTGATCAAAGTACGGCCAAAAACAAAATTTGGGAGGGTATTTTTTGGGGTTTTTTGGTGATTTTAGATTGCCACTAAATGACCAACTTTTACATCAATTATTTCAACTTAAAATTAGTTTTTTCGTTTTGTTAGTGTTTACGTCATGGATGTTATTAGGTATGTAAGAAAAGTTGATTGGAGTTGTTGATGCAATGCCAAAAACCACTTTTAAAACTAAATAAAGCTTATGTAAGTAACACCAATTGGATTTATCTAGTTCTTAAAGTTGCTGATATTACCTAATTGATATCGCATAAACTCATTCAATGAAATTTTATGGCAACTTTTACCTTTCATTATATCAACATAAGTATAATAATACATCGGGGAAGTAAATAATTTTCCATATCAGATCGCATATGAGCGAGTGTACAGAGATGAGAAAGAGGAGCAGACTAGAAAGGAAATCTTCATGAAGAACCTCAACTTCTTCCGTGAACATAACAAGAAGTACGAGCGAGGAGAAGTTACCTTCACCGTAGGAGTCAACCAGTTCGCTGACATGGTGAGATGTAATAGTAGCCTATATTACTTTTACTAGTCCTGAAAATAGGTGGTTACCCGACGAGTGTGGTCGTTCTCGTGCGAGATGAGTCAAGTCCAGAATTGCTATTCGAGTTTAGTAAAAAGTTTTGGACGAGTGATGTACAATATTTTGTGCATATACTACACTAAGCTAACTGAACAATAAAAAAAATTTTACAAATCTTTACGTATTACCACTGACTATCAATCACTACTCATATCATCTAAGAGAGGTTATGTTTTTCAATCACTCTTTGCCAAATATAATCAGCTGGTTGGTGTCCGATAGAAGCTCATTACAGTGTAAGTAATGAGACCCCATTTGATTACGCTGGCGGCATACAGCTGTTTTCCGGACTTAATCCTTGCGTGGGAAGTTCGTTAAAACAGTGTAATGTGGCATATATTTATCCTTAAACTTAGGATTAAAGTATATTAATACTATTTTTGTTACATTATGACTACGGTATCACAGTATGGGAATGGTTTGCTATATGGACATATGTGGTGATATGATAGTAATAGACTATAAGTTAAGTATTTATTGTGACCGCTTAAGCTCACAACAGTACAAACCAATTTGGTATTGAGGAAATTTATGGATAAAAGTAACAAAATATTAAGACTTTCCGTGCACTTTGTAACTGTATTAAAAATGTTAATAAGATATTTTAGATTTAACACATGGTTGGTTATCAAATTGTATTAGGTATTATTTAAATAAAGATTTTTGAACCGATTGAACTGAATATAAAAAAACACACATAAATCACTTCAAAAACCAACTTTTTGGATTTCTAAGTGGCCCCAAAACAAATATTACCATCCAAAGCCTTCAGCTACACCATATCAATTGAATTTCTACTTCACTATTCAAAAGTCAATGGCATTTTAAAACTACTAAATTGCGTTTAGACCAACGACGAGTTCAGCAAGACGATGAACAAATCCAGGCTGCCCAAGGACTACAAGAAAAGTGGAGATAAGTTTGAGTTCGATGAGGATCTGAAACTTCCCCAGAATGTTGACTGGAGGAAGCAGGGAGCCGTAACCCCTGTCAAGGACCAAGGCCTTTGTGGAGCTTGCTGGGCCTTCAGTGCGGTAAGTGGTACTACCTGGTGTGTAGTAAGTTGAGTGTATAACTAACAGATAAAATATAACTTTTGTATACGCTCTGTCAAAAAAAAGAAACTACTGATGGGGGGGGGGAGGAAAGCATGGGAGGAGGACTGGGGGAAAGGGCACTTTTTTATACTTTTGTCAAAACGGAATGGTCCAATCCCTGGTCTTGTTATTGAGTAATGTCACCCTTTATTAAAACATCCGTTTCCTTGGCCAAATAAAAATGGTTCTTGCTTCATAAACGGTTTTAATTTTTATTAGTCCAGCGACCTTCAGATTTAATAAAAATTCCGATCCAGATACTGTTGGTGCGTTGTCAGACTTAACCTGTGGATAGCGTACCAGACTTCGGTGCAAGATGGGTTCGATCCATAATTAAAAAAAAATAAAACAAAAGGTTATGACTTAAAAGTGCTATTTATTCGTTACTAAATTCCTGTAATACCAGTTTAACAAAATAATAAAAGACGAGGAAAGTAGAAAAACAACTCTATAATATTAAGAACGCACCGAAACTCCCCCGCAAAATCCAGGTAGACACCGAAACTCCGCCGCGACCCGTAATCCCGCCACCCCAGCGACGCACCGATATTCCCCCGCTGTCCTTCCTGGAATCCAAGGGGAGGCAATAGCGGGGAGAGATTTTTCGTTGTCATTTTAGAATGCGGAGATTCTCCCAAAACCCTTCATACATCTCTCAGGAGAGAGAGTGCCTGCTGTCTAGTCAAAAAGTATAGTTACTCAAGTTTGAGCTTTTATTGCAAAGTAACCAGTACACTTAGAAAGATACAAGTTACTGTACATCATATTTTTACAAATTTATTTCTCAGATTATGTGTCTTGATTTAAAATAGTTTATGCAGCTTCAACTTAACCTTTCAGCGGGTTGAATGAAAATATACAGGGTTTTCGGCGTTTTCCTAAAAACAGGAGACTTTAACATTTCATAACAAAAATACTACTGATGCAATCATCATGAAAATACCTCTTTTTTCATAAAAAAACCTGTTTTGGATTTTGTAAAGACATTTTATTTCAATATAAAATAAGTTTACATACCTTAATTACGTCATCAATCCTAATTTTTTTTTTCTTGGCGACTAGTTTCGAAACCAAGGTTTCATCGTCAAGCCTGTTGCTTCATTAAATCATTGGAACACAATGTCGTTGTCAATACACAAATAGTCAACACATAGCACACACGAACACGGGTACCATATGAATAGGAATACATTTACATAAAATAATGCGTGGCCGGCCATAACACGCGCGGTGACGGACTCGATGCAACTACCCGACTCCTGTCGTCTGGTCAAGGCGCTGGTGACATTGACCTTGGGGGGGATGGATCAGCTGATTACGAGCTCTGCCGTTATCGATATCCTCAATCCTGTCAAATATTATATTACGGCCAAAATTTGATTATTCGTTTAGAATGTCGTGGGGATGGTGTTTGGTTGATTTGTAAATTTCGTAGCTTTCTAGGACATTCATTGGGGAGCCTTTCGTGCATCTGTGTAATATATTTAGGTTATTGCTACAGCCATTTTAACGTTGTGGTTTTCGTTGTTCAGGTGTTCAGCGAACTTAGAATGTTGAGTTCGCAGTTTAGGTTTGGGGAGGTGTTCGTTAAACCTTTTCTTGAATGAACGACCTGTTTGTCCTAAGTACATTTTTGGGCAGTCGCTGCATGATAATTTGTAGACTCTGGTGTCATCTTGGCTGTTAGAATCGGTTAATTTTGAAGTAGGTTGATTTTAAAAACTTTCTAATTTATTGGTAGTTTTGCTGGCCAAGATAATATTGTGTTTCTTCAATTCGTTTTTAGGGTGTAGTGCAAATTGCTACCATATTCCATGGAGACGAAGTTTTGGTTGGGTTCTTGCAGTTGTTTTCTGTTCTTTTGTTTACGTATGATATTGTCAATGATATTACTATTGTAGCCATTGGTGACGGCTATGTATTTTAATAATGCATATTCGTTGTCGTAGTCAGTCTGGGACATGGGAATTTTTAAAAGTGTAAGCGCCCATCTTGTGCGATTGCGGATGGTTAGAGGATGCGTGGATGGTATGATCTGTGGTTGTAGGCTTTCTGTATATTTTGTAGACGATGCTGACGTTGCTTTTGTTCAAAGTGAGATCTAGGAAGTTTAAAGAGTTGTTATTCTCAATTTCAATTGTGAATATGATGTTTTGTGAGATACAGTTTAAGTAATTATTCAAAAGTTGTAGCTGCCTAGAATTACCATTAAAAATCAAAAAGGTGTCATCAACGTATCTATTATAAAATAAGATGTTCTTTGAAAATCTTTTGTTGGCAGAGAGGTTATTTGTATTTTTAAAGTTGTAAAGGTTTATTTCAGAGAGTATACTGGACAATGGCGAGCCCATGGCGAGACTGTCTTCTTGTAGATAATACTTTCCATTAAATGTGAAGTAGTTCTGAACTAGAGTTATTTTTCTAGAGGTTAAATACCTTATTGTTGCCACTGTAATCCCCTGTCGTCTGGATTATTTTATGTAAATGTATTCCTATTCATATGGTACCCGTGTTCGTGTGTGCTATGTGTTGACTATTTGTGTATTGACGATGACATTGTGTTCCAATGATTTAATGAAGAAACAGGCTTGACGATGAAACCTTGGTTTCGAAACTAGTCGTCCAGACAAATTTAGGATTGATGACGTGATTAAGGTATTTAAACCTATTTTATATTGTCAATATTCAATCCTGGAGGCAATTATGAATACATTTTATTTCAGGAATGGAACATGTCTAGAAACTAGAAAATATGCGTCCGCTTGCGATAAGACTCATTTTATAATCGGATTCCACTGTTATTATCTATTATTATTAGGGAAAGATTTATTACCCTACCTGGTATTATAAGACCAGGACAACTTTATTTTTTTTCATTGTGTAGCTTTAAGGAACACAAACTAAAATTACCTCAAAAGAAAGCGTAAAGTGGCTATCATAACATTAAGGTTAGAAATAACAGGATTTGTATACTCAATAGAGGATTTCATTTACAAATTAAATTTAATTTTAAAAACTTTACATTTATTTATTACAGTTTTGTATAGTGATTAGAATCAGATTTTGCTGAAACCCAATAAGCAATTTGGAGTGTATGGTGAAATTCGTATAAGAATAATACAGCTGATCCACAGATTGTACTAGCCTAACATATAAAAAGAAGTTTACCAGTTATAAGTAAATTTAAATCTTTATTATATTGTTATAAATTGACATTTTGTTCAAATTGTTTTACACTTTATTTACTGTCCCCAATAATTGATTTTTCTGATTCCGCGGCATTGGAGTAGGCCACGGGTCAAGATACTGTATAATGCGCCAAGTGTAAACGGTTTTGTGAATGGATCAAAACAACTTTTGTGTCTCGTTGAGAACCTGAGATAACAACATAAACTAGAAATATTTTTTTTTAAGAAACATTTTACATAGAGTGAAACAACGTCTTCAAAATAAATCATCAAAGAATTACAGCAAGTCGTAAATTTTGCGATTGTTTTGACTTACGTTAAGGTTGCGGTCTTCGCACGCGGACACAAACCTAGATTATTAATTTGGCCGATATCCCGAATAAGTTTACAAATATTTAGAACTACCGGATTTTAAGCAAGACACCCCTCTTAAGTAATACGGTAATACAAGGTTCTTGGACTGTAATACCCATTACAACAAGCTATTTAACTTCTTAAAACATTGTAACTTGTTTTTAAAAATTGTATTGTGTTTTTCTTGAGTTTTGGTGCACCAACTGATATTTAATTGTTAGTTCATAATTTCTGAACATTACTTTGTTGTAACTTTTCTTCTGGAAAATAGTTTTCCATAATCCAAGGTATGCCTTACAATTCTTTTGGCTACAATGCCACCTTTCTTCTCCACTCTTCAAAACTCTTCAAGAATAAAATCATAATTGTCTTTCACCAAGTCTACTTGCCCTCGCTCACAAATAACCTGTTGCATAGCTAACTTTGCTGAACGAACGACTTAACTAAGCAATAAAACTATCGCACAGAATCACTGAGTACTACTCGGTTAGAAAACCTAAGCAAAACTGAAAAACATATTTTGGGGTAATAGTATATTACGTTACTAGTCCTGAAAATAAGTGTTTACCGGACGAGTGTGGTCGTTCCCGTGCGAGTCGAAGTCGAGTACGGGATTACCATACGAGTCCGGTACACACATTTTGGACGAGTTACGTACGATAGTTTGCCATACTACTAAATCCGCACAAATCCTTATTATTTTCCACCAACTAAAGGTCTAAAAATCACTAGTCATGTTTTTGTTTATAACCACTCACTGCCAACTAAATACAGTATAATCAGCTGATTGGTGTCCGGTAAAACTCATTGCAGTATAGTAGTACGGGAGTATGTTTTATCTATGGTAGTACGCAATGAAACCCCATTTGAATAAGCTGGTGGCAAACAGCTGTTTTCTGGACTAAATCCTTGCTTGGGAAGTTCGTCAAAATAACGAAGTATGGCGTAAAGTATTTTGTAGTTCACTATTATTTGTTATGTAGTTGACCAATAGACACCCTGCATCATTGGTGCTAGGAAGGGGGGTAGAGGGTGGAGGGTGGAATTCGTGAGTCATTACGCAGTATGACAAACCTGGTGGGCTCAGGTACCTGCCATCCTAGCGGGGGAGTTTCGGTGCACCGAATATTAATAGGGGTCTTATTACTGTCCAATATCTTCTTTTTGTTATTTACCGTCATTTTTTGGAAGCACATAGCCTTTAGTGTAGTGGGTTATGCTTGTTGGGAAAGATAAAATAAATACATTTGCCAGGTTTGATAAAAGTTATACAATAAATGGCACATGGACCGACCTAGAAAACAATAAAAAACAAAAATAGCAAACACCATGACAAATATTTTTATTAGAATAATAACTTAATAACAATAACAATGATAAATATTTTAAGTGAGT